CAATACAATTTGAACTAGCTGTATCAGGTTTTGGTGTTAATGTTTCAATAATATGAATATAATATTTTTGTAAAAGTTCATTTTCTGTTAATTCTTCATTGTTAATATTTGGAAGTATTTGTTTTGCACGTTCTAATTGTAATGAACGCCATTGATTATTAGGTTTTCTTATTTTTTGAAATAGAACATTTAAATCAACTGATTCACACGATGTAGATTGAATAAGTCGACGTAATTGTGAAACATATTTATCAACACTAATAAATAATTGATTTATCGATTCATATACAAAATCAGTTGGTAAAGAATAGAGATTTGATATATTTCGTGATTTATCAAGAAGACGTTGTTTTATATGTGATGAATGTGTTAATTGCCAAATACGAGGTTTATTGGCATAAGCTTCGAGTTTAGAAAAAATATATTGTTGAATAAGATGACGTTGTTGAATTTCTTGTTCAGTCAAATTTCTAGATGGTTGACTTCTTTCAGAGTCATTCGATATATTTGTGTGTGTATTTGGAATATCTAAGACAGATCTTCTATGACTATGTATATGAAGATGACGTAAACGCAAACGACATTTGTTTTTATCTTCTTAGAAGAATTAAGAATTATTTACTTAATAAATAAAATAAACGAAATCATCACCTACTATTTCGGTTTTTTGAATGAGAATGTGATTGTTCAGTAGACGACATTTGTAGAAATAAATATTTTTACAATATTTATTTTTTTTTAAAAGCAAACTAATTAATACTGTTTATGTGTATGAATAATTTACGCGCGAAAGCAGGCAAAAAATAACGACAAAACATAAATATGATTCAACAAGGCTGTGCAAAAGGCTATAAATTTTCGCTTTTATCATTTTTTTTCTTATACATAATCATATCACCTATTTCTTGTGATTGATATTGATGTCCTTGGTAGGCTTTCTTAGGTATTAATATGATTTCTATTCTATTCTCTATGAATAGAGCATGTTTTCAATTTTATTCATGAGCTACACAAAAAAAGCAACGCGTCTGTCAATATCATTTTCTTTTTTCGTCATGAAAATTAATGATGTATTTTCGCATCCCTGATATATATAAATTATCAAGCGTGACATCAACAAGTATTTAATGGTCATTGACGTCAGAACGAAAAATATTTATTTCAAATATTCAATGTGTGACCAAGTAAATAATCTTTATCTTTACGTATTTCGAACTCATACATGCAAATGCATTCAAAAATCAAGAGAAAATAATTTTTATAAAATTATCTTTCTTATTACGTCCTTGGATTTCTGAATCGTCATAATGTTTCGTCTTTTTTTAATACGATAGAAATTTTTAGCATGTTATTTTTTTTTCATTTTGCAAGGACTGATCAAATTGATATGGAAAGTAGATTTACATATACATTTTTTTCATTTTGCACATGGAGTTCGTATCTCAAAAAATATTGATATGAAAATAATTCAATGTCTTCATTGCCTTTTTGTTATTTATTCGACATTCTCGATTGTTAAATCCTGATAATGTCTTAACAAGTTTCACGAGAATATTATGCATACGAAGAGCGCTTCAGTATTAGATTTTCTTTATCAATTATAGCTGTATTAGCTATATATTCAAATGTTAGCTACATCTAATTTTATCGATCGTGACATTATTGTTAATGTTTGCTGATAGTATATCTTGAAATTGATTAATAAATTTATCACATCATTTTCTATATTTTAGTAAGTTTCTGTTGTCAACGAAGTTATTCTACACATACTGTTCTGAGGTGCAATTAAGGCAAAATTCGAGTGGATTTCTTTCTCGTTGTTCTGTATATGATCTGATACAAGTTGACAATTTAGCTATGAATATGTGGTTTTTATTTTGATCTAGATACTGTTTAGTTGACAAAATTGTAAAAATCTTCAATGACTAAATATGTTGCATTCGTAATTATGAATATTATTTTTTTTATAGATATTGTTCAAATTCCAATTATACGTTATTGTTTCAAAACATTATGAAAGTATTTTATTTTCACTCAGTATCAAAAATTGAGTAGGAAAATATTATTAGTTTTTAATTTAGAACTAATAATATTAAAACTATTCCGTCTTATATTGTATGCATAGCTCCAACATGCCTTATAGTGTATGCTTGTGAGTATTATTATAAAATTATCTATGAGCCATTTCAATATACAATACGGGGGAGTATTTTTGAAATAATTTTCGATAGGAACAAGCTAGAGATCCGCGATTTACATTGTTTAAAAGATTACACAAACTTACATCGAATAGTATACACCAGATATTTCTGACAAGTTTTCTTTAGGTCTGTCATCAAAAAAGAAAAACGATTGTGTAATGTAAATGTTTTAGAATTTTAATTTTCAAGAGTGCACTAGAATCTTGAAATAGAGGTCCTATAAATTATGTAAGTCTGATGTTCTAAGGTTTAGCCAGTCATAATTTGTAAATCTCTAATGAAAACTACACTCGTATTTAACGATTTTTATTACCACATTTTCCGTCAAAAACTGCATCAAATCATACATTTTTTAAGAAATTTTTTTTTTCTATAAAAAAGATTATTTTCGGTATAGATCGGAGGGAGAGTGTTCAGGTATGTTTTTAATAACAAACATTGTTTTTTCTAAATCATATTTGATTCGATACAGCTTTTCACGCTGATTCTAAATATGCTATCTATTTCGTTTTTTTAACTTAGTGCTGATAATAAAAATCATTAAATACGAGTGAGTTTTCCACTCTTTTATCTAATTTTGCCAGCAAATGAGAAAAAAATCCGAATTTCTTCACAATAAAACAGGGCCTTAAAAAACTAATTAAGTACTGCTATAGTTCACGATCTGACGATTCTAATAAAATAAACCACTTACATATATATAGATTCGTAACTAACTCGTCAAGCTCTATAAAATCATATCCAACATAACGAGAAAAAAATCCATTTGAATTTTGCATTCTTTGCACCTTACAAAAATTCATTTCATAGACTTTTGCACTTGTTCTAATAGCCATAAATATTACATTTATTCAACGAACGAATCATTACTTTTTCTTAGTTCAGAAAAATATGTAAAAATTTATCTTGAATAAATAATATATGTTTTTCATCGGGTTGTCGTCTTGATGATCATTCAAATAGTTGTGACAATAATCGTTTAGCATTATTTTTCTATGATATTGTTGATTCATCATCAATGACAATTTGTATTGGTTCCATTTCCTCATCAATATTGATGACGAAGATAGTTCAAAAGTGGTCAATACTTTTAGCCTGTGACTTGATGGATTAACTTATATCTTTATTGTTAATAGTAGATTTTGCTAACGGATATTCTTCTATTAATAATTCAAATAGAAATTGTTAATAATCACTTGAAAAAATAGAATAACTCAAGTTCCATTTTAGGCAATGATATCACTCAAATAGTCGTTAGTGTATAATTTTTAACTAGTAGAACATTAAACTAAAGCTTAGCGGGTACTTGTTCAATATTCAAGCTGATAATCAAACTTTTCTCATTCGGTCTGATATCTAAATTTATCAATTAGATAGAGAAAATTAAGGTAACGACGTTATGAAACTTATTACATTCAGAAACTAATATTATTTTCACAAGAACACTCAAGGTTGACGATAGAATTGTCATGCTAGACTTAAAGAGAGGGTATTAAAATATAACATAAATTAAAAATTGCATTTGCATGATGACTCGTCTGCATCAAGGTCCATCTTGTCTGAGCAACATTCAACTTAAAAATTAAGCAAAACATATTTATCAAAGCTGATTACATTCTCTGAAATTATTTGAAGTAGAATTTAAAAATGTGACAAGACATCTAAGATTTGTTATCCCATAGGAAAATTAGTCCATTTGTTAAGGTGATTGCATCACGAAAACATCTTATGATTCATTTGTAGCTAAAAAAAAACATATTTCTCATTTCATGCACGACTGATCTAATATTACTTTTTTATGCTCCATTCAGAGAATTAATTAGTTCTTTTTATTTTATAAAAATATCAGTTCCAGTAGAAAGAGCGTGACGAAATCGCCATCGAGCAACTAAGTTACTTTGTGCAAAAAAAAAAGCGAAATCTCGTTTTTGATCTTATATTTTTCTTTATGACATATGTTCAGATATGTGAAGAAATTTTAAAAACCGTAGTGCCTAATTCTAAAGTTGGTTTATGATGGTTCTGAGTTATTTTCATTACCAGAATTGAAAGCAGCATTTTGGTTGTACTATCTGATATGAACGATATAATATTAGATTATTACTTTTGAGCAAATAACGTTATCTATCTGAAGAAATAAACATTGAATAAAACACCGTCATTTCTTATAACATGATTCGTTCGCGCAGTCTTCCCATGTAATTCGAATCAGATGGACACTCCTGCTGTACTACTGTTCTTTTTTCACAAGTAATGTATCATAGCATATAATATCAAAACGGATGAATATTTAGGAAGTCTGTTAAAACTAACATCATTTGATAATAAATTCAAGTGAGAATGAATATTCGACAGGGCTTTTTTCTTTTTACAAAAAGATTATTTTTTCCACTTCTTTATATACAAGGCAAACCTGATGTCCATTTTTAGGAACTTGGTGATGGTCTGTATTTCAATTATGAAATTGTAGAGGAAGTTAAGAATCCAATGAAACTTTGATGATGTACAGGTCTATTCGCCTTAAATTTATTTTGAAATTTCCAGCTTTATTCTCATTGAGATATTCGAAAATACAAAATTTTTAAAATGTGATTCAGTGACGATTGGATATGTTAGAGACCTACACCTTGCTAATTCTTATATATTACATTTACTACTTAAACCATCCAGAGCATCTGTATCAATTTTGACTATTTGATGACTACCTATGAATGTTGATTAATCGGAAAAATAAACTTAACAGTGAATCTCTAAGAGGCATTGCACGTAAGCCACGGCCAATGTTGCTCAGTCGATCTCCCCGATTTGGCTGATATTTTAACATTAGGTAAGTCTAAGAGTCTTAGAAAGAAACTGAAAATTTCAGCTCAAACGGATGAGCTGTTTTGAAGATATAGACGGTACAAGTATGACAGGGTGGGTCCCATTTGGAGTACTTTATAGTGCAATACTTTCCAGTAAATCTCTATTATTTCGAGAATAACAAGAGATATCACTGAGATTTTTTGACCATAAATACTACCGACGATGAGCTATATTTTTATGGTAATAAAAGTATCTCATCACTGGATAATTTTTACGTAGCATTATATATTATTTTCAGAAAACGTCCTCACGTAGATATGGCAAGTTGGTCGAATCAGCGCTCTAGAATAAATCGAGAGTAGTCTCATCTGAAAGAACACATCAAAATGCATTGACTGACGTTTTCAGAATTTTGTGGTATTGAACTTTCGTAGCAAAAAGTTTTTGAACAAGATTAGAAAGGCCGAATTCGGGGCCCGATTCTACCTATAAAGATTGGTGATTTTCTTCCAAATGATTGCTTTGATTGTTTGAGATGAAAGCCCATGCCGCGAAACCTCTAAATTAAAAGTTTCAGGTCATTTGAACTTATCTGTGAAAAATGGTGAAAAATTCATTTTTGTGAAACATCATTGGATAGCATATATAGTCCGCCTAATTTTTCTGATGTTCATATTTCAGTTAAACTGCAACCA